GAACATGTCTCAATGGCCAACATTTCCTAGACATCACCACCCATTAACAAATACATGTAGGTACTTTCTGCTTGGCATTTGCTTTTATAAACTAACTATATTTATTGTTATTAAAATACATTACCACAAACACATCTCACATGCCCAATATAAACACCATTTATTGCGGCTTATTTATATAAAAAAAATTACACGCAAGTGTTGAACAAAACAAAAAAAAACAGAAAATAAATTAATAACGCTTGAATGACTGCGATTTCCAGCAGCTAGCACTTTTACCGGAAATAGAAAAAAAAAAACAAAAAAATGATTCCAAAATTTTATTTCAAATTTAAAAATGCGCTGTGATTTTTAAAATAGCTAAAATTCTTTGGAGAGATTTACTCGCTTACATAATGGACAAACATTAGAAATGTTTTGGAATAAAAAAACAAGCCAAATTTAATAGAAACGCAAAAGGAATTTCTATTGCCATTTATAAACTCGAACATTTTAATGCCCAACAATGGTGTGAAGTTCGAAAGGGAAATTGAATTGAACGTAATGGTTGCTTAATTTCTACATACCGACTTTTTTAAAAGGCATAGCAAAAACCTCATCAACAACAACGACAACAAAAAGCAGTTGTGTTAAAATAAATAGCAAAACATTGAGCTTCTTTGGAAAATAACGAAAAAAAATTAATGAGTATTAGTCAGTTTTGTGTTTTTTTTTTTTTTCGAAAATGTTGAACTTTTGTTCGGAAGGTACCAGTAACAGTGGACCGTTGTATTTCATTTTCGCGATTCAAGCTATACATACAAAAATATTGAGATATACAAAGTTTAAAGAGAATCGAACACTTATTTCCAATTTTATGCCAACAATTGTTCAATTAAAATTTTAACCTTTTGTGGGGGAGATAATAGAAAGAGTGGACCGATATCGTTAAATTTCGTAGCAGACCTAGCACTGCTTCAAATTAAAGGAATCACAAAGTTGTAAACTAATATTGCCTATCTTTAAACTCGATCTATGTTCGATGTACCAAGTTCGAACGAAAGAAAATGCTCCCTTTGGGAGTTATCGTGCGCACTAGCCAGACAGACGGACCCTGCAAAATCGGCTCTAAATGTCCTAAAACGTATTGCGACCAAGAAGAGCTGGGGTCTTAAATCGTTATATTTATGAGGCACGTTTTGGTCGTATCAAATGATATATGAGATATCTCTGTACCCTGATGACTGAGGGTATAACAAGTTAAGGCTTCAGTTGATCAACCTTCTCTGTACCCATATGGCTGAGGGTATAAGAAGTTAGGGCTTCAATTTCAAATGGGGACAAAAAGAACTCATTGAACGCGAAATGTCATTGAACTTCTATTCTATGATCACAGCTGCGAAAAAAGACGGGATATACAGGTTAGGATCCTATACCTTGGGACTTTCACATTTTTGCCACTATTGCCATACAATCTATGTTGGGAAGTACCTCTAGTGATATAGGTTTGTGACGAACAGAATGGCGTATGTTATATGAACGCAGCTAATACCCTACGCTAATTCCTTCGATTCATATAAATTGTTTTCGGTTGAGTTTCCATGTTGAGGAGACTGGATAGAGCTTCACGTTCCCGTCTTGACTCAGAAAAGCGCGTTTCTACCCTGCAGCAGCATAAGGCAACGTAGACCATTTTTCTATTATTTGTCAGACGTGTTAAATTGGGCGGCTTTTCGAAATATACCGACTTTCTGCATTCGGTACATGTTACCGGATCATACCTGCGGTGTATGACATTTTGACAAAACCGAACAAAAGTGGCCTGCTTTTAGCATGGAAATGTGGTTTCGATTTTACATACTTAGTTGAGTCCAAGAAAGCTGTCTGTGGTCTTTTTGGAATCCTATCACAGTGTGGTGCTTTGTATAAAAAAGAACGCCAACGGAAAACAAATTTGAAATCTAAAATAGCCTTCCTGTTCCTGTACTTTATGTTATTTTAAATTCCATTTAGTTATGTATATTCTTGTCATTAATAATAATTCTCCCTCTGAGATGTTTATCTGTTACGGACTGTGTAAAAGATCGAATAAATAGAATCTTTGCAATGAAAGCTTCAAAATTTTATACTTACGAAATAAGTCTTTTCGAACCAAATTTCTCGCACACAAGACTGTAAGAGAAAATAAAATTATATTTTATTCAGGATTCAACAACTTAATTTCCTTAAAAGTAATACTTCTTGGGTTATTTCCAATTAACTTACTCATAGCTCATCTCAAATGTTGTGTTAAGCACAAAGACTTTATTTGTTCAGATGAATGAATAGATAATTGGAATTTCCCAAAAAATAGGGTACTAACAAGCTACCCAGTTATATTTTTTACTATTATTGACTGAAAACATTAGAGTGGACTTACTTGTTATACGTATTTTGTGTGCTCCATTGCGTCGCGGATATTCCAATTTATTCATAATTTAAAAACAAAATAATACAAATTTATACACCAAACTAATAATAGATATTATGACGAGTTGAATTTAAACATTTTTATAAACAATTCTCTTCACGTTGGCCCATTAGTTTCCATTCGATTCCATATTTTTGTTGTTGTTAGCGAATTTTTTATTGCCTACTTTTTATGCTACTGGATTTTGTTGATATGGACAAATATCTGGGAGATGAACTACAAAAAATAATAATGAGCAAATATTATATGAAACGCGCTAAAACAGTATTTTTCACAATTTTTATAAACTAGGACCCTTTCTAAAGTTCTTGCCGATTGTATTTTGGCGGAAATGGAAAAAAAAAACTTTCTAAAACCTGCAATTCTCCCTATTTCCTGGGCGGGTCTGGTTTAAGCAGCCGCCCTGTACATTATTGTTTACAATCGTTTTAAGCCAACAAATTAAGATAATTAAAAAAAGGTTACAACTACTATGTTTTTCTCCAGAAATCACAATAATATCCTGTTCCCTTTTGCTCACAGCTCTGGGCATTTGCATTCATTTGCACCACGAAACCTAACCTTCTTCCTCATTTTCATTTGTAGGACTTCTTTCAAGTGCACAAACTTCATGCCACTAATTGTCTCGTTGTAACCTTTGATCGTCTTTCGAGATTAGTGAGTGGTTAATATAACAACTTCTTTGGTGCCACTACCTTTATTAAATGCATATTGAAATATTATTAGTATTATTTCTTCTTTTTTTGTTGTCGTAATTCTCTTTTGCACTATAATTATTGCATTTTTTCTCCTCTTCTCACATGCACAACATTCACATACACCAGCCAGCCAGCCTCACACAGCCAACGATTTTTTCCACTTGGTTCAATTTCTTTTGCAAACAATTCACGCCTTAATTCCAAAATAATGCCAATGCGTTTGGCTTTCAAAAAAGAAAAAAAAACTGTGCGACTTATATTTCGACCGACCGATTTTTTAGTGCAAAAGCACTCGAGGAAACATTTGTTGTTCCTTGAGCAATATTATTATTATTTTTTATATTTTTCTATCTGTCTGCTTTTCGACGAACGATTTAGATGACCACCACGATATCACGACGACAGTTTGAACACAACATTTTCCATCGATTGCCGTGCATTTGCGAGAATATTTTTTTCTTGAGAGACGTGAACACAGGGACTTTTCGCTTACGACAATAATATTAATTAATTAATTAAAGTGTTAATAAAAATTGTAAAAATTGTTAATGCGTTCAACCAAAAACTTCCGCCATATTGAAATAACAATTTGACAAGCAAATTCATTTGACAAACTAAACAAAAGTGTACCATACGCTGCGCAACATCACATCGTAAATTGTTAGAAGGAGTTCACATTCCTCGATATAATACATGATTCAACTGTATTTGTAAAATATTGTTTTTTTTTTGTCAATTGTTTACAAAAGAAACTTAAGTTACAAAAGATAAATTGCAGAATAAAGGAAAGTAGGAACACATTAAAGTATGTATAGTAGTTTGTGGGTATAAACGTTAAGTTAATGCAATAAAAATGACAATTTAAATCCATTTGTTTTACAAAAAATTTTAAGGAAAAATACAAAAATATGGTTGATGTGCAGTTTAAGGATTAGGTGCCGGTATCCGGATGAAAAATATGTTCCTTTTTTCCTTGAGGAAGCCCATACGTGCCAAAATGTAACCCCCAACTTTTCTTCTCCTTTTATTAGTATGGGCATAAGCGTTTCACATGCTTGCTAAACTAATTATAACCGCATAAAGGTGAAAATACATAAAACGCTTTTCTGACTGACTTAAGTCATCGGCTAGCTTCTTCGGAAAAGAACAAAGAAGCCTAGGACCAAAATCGAACTAAATCAACCTAAAACTCCTTTGTTATAAAAACCACGATTGTACAAACTGTCAAACCGATTTTGGAATTGAAAATGTTGAGAAAAATCATTGAAATTTGTAAAAATTGTTGAAAAATGCATGCAATGGACGTACAAAATCTTTCACCATGGTGGGAGTTTGAATATTTTTATACGGTATGTCGAACTTTAGGTAACGCTGTTTAACAAAATTTTTAAATTTTACCTTTTTCCAAAAGTATGTTGATTAACGACATATTAACAATGACAGCGTATTTACATCACAGAGAGCGTAAATGTAAACATGATCTAATTGACATGTAAGCCCTATTCGCTTTGGTCAATTTCTACATATGTTTTCTTCTGTTCGATGCTGGTTCCTTCATTCTATGAATTCTTAGCTGGTGCTGTTACACAAATTTTTCAATTTTTACCATTTTCCAAAAGTAATGCTACAAAGCAAACATGTTTTCATATGCTTTGCGACATATTAACAATGACAGCGTATTTACATTACAGAGAGCGTAAATGTAAACATGATCTAATTGACATGTAAGCCCTATTCGCTTTTGTCAATTTCTACATATGTGTTCTTCTGTTCGATGCTGGTTCCTTCATTCTATGAATTCTTAGCTGGCTCCCTCATTATATCTCTCTCTTTTTGCAATCCCATTGGACGAAGTCGACTTGTGTATCCCTAACAAAAAAATATATACATCCTCCTCTTATAAAAACAACATTTCTGTAATTTTTTGCTTTGTTGAGACAAAAATTTAAATAAAATGTCCCACAAATAATGTAAATAAATATGTATATTGAATTAAATACTGTTTGTGTCCAGTGTGCATAAGGAATAAACAAAATAGTAATGATACACAATTTAGAATTTAGGGAGTTGGTTGTCGTGAAAAAAAGAAAGAAAAGAACTTAGTTGTTGGACAAACTCTTGAATGGTAAAAATACCAATAGACAGGAGGAAAAAACGAAGAAAAAAACTTGTGATATTCGGTTAAAAAGAAAAAAATAATGCTGCAAAAATAAGCCGAATAGCATTGGACAAAAAACGGGAAAAATTACATAAATTTTTATCCAGAGGGAGGAGACGTTTTAACAAAAAAGAAAAAAAAGAAAACCCGAAAAATAAATTTCTTCCACCACACATTTGTCGTTTGTGTAACTTGTCTCTGTATGTATGTATGTTCATTCGCAAGCAAGCAGGCAGAGCCAGTCAGAGTATAATACAACAGTAGACACAAAGTTTTTAAAGTTTGTGCTATTCTGCATGTCGTCTGAATTTAATAAACATGGTGAAATTGATGGCCACCACCAGCATACGCTTCTATATTAGCTTTCTGATTACGAATCATGACAGAAGGACATGAGAGGTAAGTCCATTAATTATTTGTTGAAGACTTTTCATTTGGAGTTTTCTTTGGTTTTTTTGTTAAGGTTGGTTGTTGTTGGTGTGGTAGGGTGGTGACGGCGGTGGTTCAAGAAAGTATATCTATGTTCCACATACCCAGTAAACAATTTTTTCCGAATTCGGTCCGATTTCTGTCAGAATCTCTGAAAAAATGTCCGATTCTGATTCCGAATTCCTTCCGATTTCGGTACGAAAGTTGTATGGACGTGGTCACCGAATTCGGAAAGATTTTCTGAAAAAAATCTGAAAAAATATTAGATTTTCTGGACGAATTCGGTCCGAATTCGGTGAAAATTCTTGAAAAAATAGGAGAAAAAATTAGATTTTCGGAAAAGATTCGGAGGACAACTCCGAATTTCTGAAAGAAATCGGGCAGAATTCGTCTGGAAATTCGGCGGAATATTCAGATTTTCTAAAAGAAATCGGTCAGAATTCGAAAGAAAATTCGGAATAAAATTCAGATTTTCTGAAAAAAAACGCTCAGAATTCGGGAGAAAGTTCCGATTTTCTGAAAGAAATCGTTCAGAATTCGGAAGAAATATCGAAAAAATCGTCACACCACTTAAAAATGAAAAAAAAAACACATATTTATTTAAAAAACAAACAATTTATTTCGGGTTTCGTATAAATGTAGTTTAAATATTACATCTATAATACATTTGCATTATAAATATTATTTTTATTAGGAACATAACATACAGTAGCACGTTTCTGTTTCAACTGCTAAACAAGAATTAAAAATAAAAAGCAGTGCACACAGAAAACCGGTATGTAGTTATTTTTGCAATTTTTTTCCATCATATTTTTTTGGGAACGAAAGAGAAAGAGGCTGATTCACAACAACAACAAAACGCACATTTTTACAACGGAAAATCGAACAGTTCACAATAACAATAACAAATAGCATTTTTGCTTTGCGCTTTGTTGTTGTTGAGATCTTGAAATGAATGATCACAACACAACTACTATGGGAGAGAATGTATCAAACCACCACCATCCGTTTACTGTGGGAGAGAATATGCCAGAGCAATAGACAATCTACTCTCTCCGTTTGTACATTTTTCGAGTTTTTTTCGCTTAAAAACACAGGAAAATGTGCAGAAATTCTAAAAAAAAATCGGACCAATTTCTATCAGAAATTTCTGAAAAAAACGTCAGAAATTTCGGAAAAAAATCTAAAATCAGAGCAGTCGGAAAAAATTGTTTACTGGGTAGGTACAATGTGTGTATGTGTACCCACATAAGTAGTTGTCAGTCATTTCAGACAGTCATTCAAAATTATGCTTTCAGAATGATTTCCAAATAAGTTGGTAAAATATTCCTCCTGTTTTGAAAAAATAAATTTAAGCAGATAAATAGAAATTGAGAGATTTATTGAACAGTTGCATATAGCAAAAAGAGCACATCCACCCAGAGAGGCATAATAGTGTATGTGTTGCGAGAGAGAGAGAAAGGGAACTGATAGCAAGAGAGCACGCATTCACATATTCATTGAGTTTTGTTGTTCATTCATAAGGACGATGGCAAATTGTTGAGTTTGTATCCCCGGACCTAGACAAAAAAAAGCAATTTTTTTTGATTTGTACCACAATTAAATTAAAAGATAATCATAATATTGCATTGAAGAACGTATTGAAGTGGAAATTAACGTTTTACAGCCTCTTCCTGTTACACGCTGCCTGTCGTATATTATGTACCTAGTCGTAGTTGAATATATGTATCACTCACATCCCTTTTACTCTCTTTCATTGCACTTGACTCTCTTAACGTTGCCATGTTTTGTAATAATTTTATATTAGGATAGGTTGGAGTTTTATGGATAAAATTGTGGGTTTTAAATCAGGCTTTTTTACGGGAAAGAATTTGTATTTTTTTTTTTTTTGTAAAGAATTGTTTTTATAATAATTATGGGAACTTTTAAGGGCTGCAAGATTTTTTTTTAAGGATTTCATTTAGAAAAAAGTTGGAGAGGGTCAGTTTTCAAAATCCCTCATCATGTATTATAATAACCTTTGAAAATAACAGCATAGAGATACAAATTCAGCGAGTCCCTGTGTAAAAAATGAATGAAGAACGAACGAATGAATAAATATACCCTCTATTCCATCATGAAGGGCATAAAAACTATAATTTTTTTTAAAGAAAGACAATTTTTTAAGAATTTGAATCCCGTTTCCATTTCTAATGTAACCTATTGAAAAAAGAGGAAAAATGTAAATTTCCATTTTGTATGTTTTTTTTTTGCTCCACTGTATGAAGAAGATATATTGTTTAAGTAGGTGGCTCTGGTTTCTCTTCAGTCATTTGTGTGGCGCTCTCTGCAATCGCATATGTTCTCTTAAGTAAAACTACATAAAAAAGAATATCAAATGTATGAATGAAAAAATAATAGTTTTTTGTAAAGCCAAACAGCCAGCCAGTCAACCTTCAAGAGCCGACCGACCGCCTAACAAACATTCACATCAGCAGACATTGTGTTGTATGTCTCAGCTCTCAATATGAATGAATGCTATCCAATCCTACAAAGAAGAATGTCTTATCCCTCGTTGCGAGTGTCATGGCTGTTTTTTAATTAGTTTTTTTTTTCTCCTTGCTTTCCAGCGATTTTTTAGTAACAGTAAGAGCACAGGTTATGACCAGAGACGAAAGCACCGAAGGTTGGTTACCACTGGCAGGGGGTGGTCTGGCCAACGTTTCGATACGTAAACGTGCTAGGCTATCCCCTGGTGCTACTGGACATGAATACATCATATACGGTCGAAGAATATCAGATCAAAGCGTGAGTAGAATTTGTATTGGTGCCATTCGCAATCTCGTTAATATCCTAATTCCTTTCATTTGTCTTTCAGGTTATTTTAAGTTGCGTCATTAATCGCGACCTTAAATATTACAAAGTTATGCCAACGTTTCATCACTGGCGAGCGGGTAAACAGCGAAATGGTCTTACGTTTCAAGCTGCTGCAGATGCCAGGGCCTTTGATAAAGGTGTATTGCGAGCATACAATGAATTAATTGATGGCATGGCAAAATCGAATCCTTCCATTATATGTCCACCACTGACCAAATATGATTCTGTTGGCGAAGACGATGTTTTCATGGTATATAATAACCACTCACATACATACATACTTACATATCAAACTAATGTTTCCTTTTCTTAAAACAAACAGACACTTGACCTACCCTGTGAATCTTTGGAAAATAAACAAAAGGGCTATTCCAGTCCCGAGGGAAGTGAAAACAGTCACAGCTTTAAGGATCGCGGGGAACGCTACACGGAAAGTTCTCAGGACAAAAATGATAAAGAAGTTGCCAAAATTCATTACATATCGGGTGAAAACTCTTGCTTGCAAACCACGCCATCTCTACCTTCCATGACCAGCTCAGCTCAAAATAAGACAACGTCGATGGTGAATACCCACACAACGACAAGCACAACTGTAACAACTGTGGAAACATCTCCAGTTATAGCTCCTAGTGAAAATTATTCCTATGTAACCTTAACTGCGGTAAGTTAGTTTTGTGAAATGAAAACTTGCGGAAGGGGTTTCTAAAAATATCCTTACTCTTTAGGTTCATGACTATAATTATCCGGTAGTGGATCAACCTGTGGCCGCACAAGTCCTAACACGTTGCGACTCGATCACAACTCTCAAGAAATTAAATGCCATTGAAGCTTCTCATTGTTTGGCCGGAACTCAGTCTTCGCCCATTTCCAATGTCTTGATCAAAGATCCGGAAATTGATATTCTCAAACATAAAATGCAGCAGAAATCAAATCCGGTGGCGCCAATACATAATCAAATGACAAGGTGTCGCTATTGTCAGGAGTTGTACAATGACGAATGGAATCGCAAAGGGGCTTGTGAGTTTGCACCAGACTGTTTTCGTTCGGGGTTCGAATGCATTTCGGGTATAGGTTGTGCACGTTGTATGCTTTATCATTTTATGAGTGATTCGGAGGGGGAAACACCCCAACATCCCTGCGAGTGTGCCAATGAGAGTGGATGCACCAAAAGGTATAAAAATTGGGCTTAGTTTTATTTTCCTTAAAGTTATATTCTCGTTGTTGTTTTTGTTGCAGATGGCTTGGTCTAACCTTGTTGTCTTTGTTGGTGCCCTGTCTGTGGTGTTATCCTCCCCTTAGGGTATGCCACCTAATTGGCATTGCCTGCGGCATTTGTGGTGGGAAACATAAACCACAAGTTTGACATTGGGAGGCTGAATTACAAAACAATAAAACTAGATGCAAACAAAAACACCACAAACAGCAGAAGCAGAAACAGCATCCAGAGAAGCAGCAGCAAGGCTATGATGATCTATTTTCCTCGTCTTCATACAATTACAACAATAGATGGCAGCAGCGACAGCAAGAATGCAAAAATCAATACGAATGCGATATTAATATGTTCAAAAGACCACCACTACAAAACCAACAACAATGCAAGCTTGTGGACGATCGTCGTTCCACAAAAGCCGAAGATTCCTTTATACATACCTGCATTAAAAGCCAAAATAACGATTATGGTAATGTGTATTACTAAAACCATGCAAAACAAGCAGCAGCTTAACAAAACTCTCTCACCAAACCTCTACGAGAGTGAGAGAGAGAGAGGGAACTCAACTTGAGACTTCTCCTATGTGTTTTTATTCCTCTTTTTTTACTACTTAATAATGAGAATTCCTAACATGTTATTACCGTTTTGTGGTCGATTCTTTTGTATTAAAGAAAACAAAGGCTGCAACAGATTAAGTTATAGCCAGCATTTGTAGATTATGTTAATGAATTTGTCCTGTGTACATTATATTTTTTGCTCTTTACTTTATTTCCTGTTTTTTTTTGTACATACATGTATAGGAAGAAAAAAAAAACAAATCATTTACACACACAAACACACACACACAAAATACTTCAAAGAAGTACCTGTATAACTATTATTATAATTATAAATTATTAAATTTGCACAAACAAAAAAAAAACAACTAATTTTTTCTTCAAATCAAATTTAATTTGTTCTAAAGAAAGAAATAACCCTCACTAACATACATGTGTATTTAATTTAAGAAAGCCTTTGTTTTTATTTCTAATCTAATAATTTAATGAAAACTTTTTTGTTTTGAAAAGAAAAATAATCGTTTTAAAATGCTTAATAACACCAGTATTATTAATTTTAGTTAATGTCGAATAACTCTTTTTGGTTTCCGAAACAACAGAACACACAACAACACAAGTCCTTTGGTGTTATACATAACCTTACACTTTTTTATTATTTTTCTTTTTACTAAATATAATATTGTGATTCTTACAACATACACATTTGTTTTACTCAAACGAAAAAGAAAAAAATAAAAGAAAAATTAAAACTTATATACATACCAACAACATATAATACATATACATGTTACATGTGCTAAATAATGAAAGTCACTAGAAAAACAAATGAAGATGATATTAAACGAAAAACCAACATTTGTGTTTATATTGCCATGACAATTTCCAATTTGCAGATTTATATTCACAATTGTCTACTAATTGTTAGAAAATGATTTTTTTTGGAAATTCCTTGGTTTGTTTTGTTTTAAATTGAAAGATATATGAATAGTTTGTTTACTTTAGGGCTCAAAGTATACAAAGTATTCTCAATAAAAAAAGAAAAAAAAAATAATAAATAACTCCCACAATTACTGGCAGTTGTGAATATTAACAAAAAAAAACATTTGCTATTTTGCTCGAAATCTTGTGGTAATATATTCATGCAAAATCTCTATCTGTAAAATCCCAAAATTCATACATACATATATTACATAAACAACCCATAAAATGATGTATTATTGTAAGTTATTTGGATTGAACAAACACAAAACATCTAATATTTATTAATAATATTACAGCTTAGTATAAATAACTCGAACAACAACTATAATTTAACACAACAAACTAAATAATTAAAAATACTTGCTTAAATTCCTGTTTTTATAACATATAATATAAATAATTGTTATCCTTCAGGAAAACATAAACCGAAAACAAAAGCATTTTGAATTTTTTGAAAAACTGGAAATTTCATTTTCTGCATTTCAAAAAATATGAAATCCATGCTTTTGGTTTTCATGCAAACCAACTAATTTAGACCTTTTGTTCAAATTGTGGATATTAAAGAAAAAAAAAACTAAAATGAATAATAAAAATAGCAAATTAAGTTAAAAAGGTTGTTATAATTACAAAAAGAAAAAAAAAACACAAGAAACAAATAATCACTACAATTTTTCTTCACATATATGTGTATATGTATAAATACAATACATACATATGTATATTAAATGCTATTGGGAAAAATACTTAAAAATTATATAATATTAATTAACATATACAAAAAAAAAAATGAAAAGAAAATATATAAATGAAACCAACCAATAACAAACATCCTTAGGACAAACAAAAAAATATAAATATTTTTTTTTGCGTAAAGAATTGTTATGAAAATCATAAATAAGTACAAAACCAAAATACTAAAACAAAAAGAAACACTTTCTTCAGTGGGCATCAACCAGCGACGATTCACAGCAGTCAGCGGTCAATGTTCATTAACCAACCAACCAACCCCTCCATGAATTCTTAATAAGTACAAAAAGGTAACACAAACATACAACACATTTTTCAAAACCCCACAAACATCCATACAAACAAAAATAGAAAAAAAGTGTAAAACATAACTAGCATTGTCTTCTTTTTGCCTAACAATAACAAGAAAATGTAACAGAAAAAAAGATTATCCGCCAAAAAACAATATCAGATGCTATTAGAATGGGGAAGACAAACAAAGTAATAATCATATAACATCTTTTCCCCCCATCTCAAATAGTTTTCGTGTCATTCTATAATGGAAACAACAACTAAAATAAAAAAACGGAACAGAACACAGAAGAAAAAAGAAATGGAGTTTTTTATTTGTCAAGGGTGGGCAAACTAGGATGTGCAACTCAATTTCAAGGGCAAGGTATTGAATATTGAGGATACTAATTTTTCCCATTAACTAACACGAATTCGAAAATAAATTTTCTAGTTTATTTGAATAATATTTTTACATACTAACAGAAATGGGGTACTGTATTAAAGACTTAAATATATATTTTGTACTTAAGCAGCTACCAACTTAAAAAATATGACTGCCTCAAAAAAATGCAAAATAGCAAATAACTCGTCCAAGCTGAAATCTAAAGGTGCCAAATTCATAGTCAGTCGAGTCGATGTTTCGATAAAAAATGTAGTAGCTAATTTTAAGGGCTTAATATAGAAGACCATTGGGGGCTTATAATAGGTGTTGAAAGGCTCTAATAGTCGTACCTTGACTTCCAGCAGAAAGGCTTAGAGTGATCAATGAGTAGAATGGTGCGTATTTCTTTTTACGTAAAACTACTCTAGAACAGCAATCTATTTTATAAATTAGGATTTGGAATACATACAAAATACTAAAACAAGGATAGAACTGTAACTCATTATTTTCCATTTGCTTTTAATTCCTTGAGAACTTCCTCCTCTGATATTGTTTCAGACAACTGAAAAAAAAAAAAATAAAACAAAAACATTAATTTTCCAGAAAACAACAAAACAAAAGAAAACAAAACATGTTTTGCCCACCACATCAGCTAATTGTACAATTTGCAGGGCTTGAGTATAACCATCCGAAGCCGAAGGAATTTTATCATAATTCCAATATGTGAACTCCTCAAATGTGCCCTTAACTCTCAGTATGCGTTCAGCTTCCTCGTCCAATGGTTTGCGGGTCTCCTGTAAGACAACACCTATAAATGGATAAAAGTTATGGGCTTGCTTTCCTCCATTAAAATCAAGTTGTCAACACAAACCCGTAATATTTGCTGGAACCTTTTTTATCTCTCCCTGCAGAGGATATCCGCGCAAAGCATTTGTAAGGAAGCCATTCTCTTTACGAGTATAAGCTGAAAAGTACTGCTCCACATTGGCCTCGCCGTTACCCTTGATGTTTGCCGGCAAGAAATGCATGTCCAGCTGTTGTCTATCTTTTTTGATTTTACCACTATTTACTTCAATGGTAATCGACATTATTTTTATTTTATAAAGCGAACAAAATCAATAACTTTTAAGAATGAAGAAAAACTATTAAAGACAAAAACTCGAACAAGACAAGGCAATGTTGACAGACGATATTTTGGCGGTTTGCTGTATGGACAAAAAAGAGTTCCTTAGATCGATAATCGATTGTAAGCATTTCATTCTGAATGGCAGTCAAGAAGAAGAATTCTCTTAACGAATAAAATGTGAAAACTGCCATACGAGAAATTTCTCCCATTTCTCCTATAAAGATTTGCCTTGTCGCAAGGAAACTCGACTCATATAAAATTGGAAAAGAGTGATGTTGACTACAAATTTCATAGATACTCTATTTGGCGTCAATGGTATAAAATCGGGTAAACACCATCAATCAAAAGGGGAAGGGACGTTAACTAAATGCTCAATGTGTGGGCTGCCAATATATAACTAAATATACATTTTTTCTATGGAAAACTATGTAACCATGTATAAAACTAACTATATTGTGCTTTATGTCTAAGAAAAAGTTTTTGTCTCGTTTTTGTATGTTGCACCATGATTCAATAAGAAGGGTTGCTCAACTTCGAAGAAGGAAAATGCAACTTTTTACCGGAGTGACAAATATATTTTGATTTGTTTATTTCACTTTTTGTCACAAAATTACTATATTGTGGAAAACCCACAAAATATGAATGAAATATTGGGTTATCTCCACAAAATTGAAACCAAGATCGAGGGACAATGTTGTTTCATGCCGATAACGTGACAAATATGCATTTTTGTTGCTCTAAATTTGAAATCATTTTAAATTATTTCCTTTTTATTTCAAAAAATACACACATATATACAAACTGAATATGTTTTTACAGAATAGGGGCACCGAAAGAGAAAAGGGTGTAAATTTGTTCTATGTGTTGCACGAAATGACTGACCAATGGAACATTTTGAACCATTTTCACTTCACAAATACTCAAAATACATTGTGTAGTTTGAAAAACAAAAAACTACTAAGGCTCTTTTGGGCTTAAATACTTCATATTTGGCTGCACTGGATATTATCTGAACATTATTAATTCTACTTCCTGCAAAGCTGAAGGTAAGACAAATATTCGTTATAATTAATAGTGGAATTTGTTTATTTCGCGAATCAAGGCTTTAAGATTTTGGTCGACATGCCGATATCAGCGTAGCATGCAAATGGGAAGTGCAATAAAAAGTTAACGTTGTTTGTAATTCTAGGCTTTGCGGCTAAATAATTTACCTCTCCCAGAGTATCTCAGTTATCTGAAAAATTTCAAATACTTGACCCACAGATCAGAGAACTTTATCGTAGGATAGCATCAACTTGCAAGTAAATTACTACGTGTTGTCTTGTTTTGAACTATATCCGTAGCCACACAATGCACTTTTGGGGTTTTTAGAAGAAAGTGTAACATTTGTCTAGATTATACCATGGTAGAAGACTACAGGTGAAACTGTCAAATCAATTTTGAAATTGTAAATTTTAAATGAAAAATATTCACCTCCGATTTATGTTGAATAAGAAAACTTAAAAAAACTTACTTAGTTTTGAAAAACCACTTTAAAATATTTGACATATCAATGTTGTTAAGCATCTACCTGTATTCTTTTATCATGGATATTACCATCATTCTGTTCATCATAATGTGTAGGTTCTATATAAAGTTATATCAAAATACCAGGTGGAAACAAATGTTTGTTATAGCAGGTGTTTAAGACGCGGTTTCGTTGTAGGCATCTTCATTGTTGTCGCTAGCACTCCATGGTATACAAATATATATGATCTATCCACTTGTTTATCAATATCATCGGCAATGGGACTGCCAATTGGAATAATGCTATTTGATATTTTTGTCATAGGTGGAACTTCAAATTATTTGTTGCCTGTCCACATAAACTCATCTCTCCTCTTCATTATATAGAATTATTATAAACAATGTTTCATTTTTTCTATAAAAAGGGTTTTTTTATTTTAACACCACGGAAAATTGTGGAATGACGTATTTTTTCATAACTGCATTGAAATATACAGATAAAAAATTCTTTTTAAGGTAGGAATAATTATTATAATAATAAAATTGGATGATTAACTTATGAAATAACTAAGAATTACCAACACGCTCCTCGTTTCGTCTAACATAAGCGACACGACACAAAATGAAAGTAGAAAGCAACAGCGGGGCAATATTACCAAATGATGACGTCGACAATATTATGAATGAATATTATGTCGTTTTGGAAGCTGAATGCCACTTATCATTTACGATTTAAGAACGGTTGTATTTGCCCCAGATGTGTAGCATGAACACGGAGGCGATAAACAGGAGAGACATTACCAAAACTGGAACTGGGCCACTAAAAATATAACAGGTTGTTGAATTGTAAAACCTTGTCGCTCCATAAAAGACACACTCATTGACTTACACTTTAATACCGGGAGAATCATCGGTATAGAAACGCCACATACCACCGGTGCCAGCACCACCAGCAGCACGGCTTCTGGGTGCAGTTGTGCTGCTGCTTGTGGTTTTACGTTGTTTCAGATTGCTTCCACCAGCACCGCCGCTACGTGGTGCAGGAGACGACAATTTGCTGGGAGAGCGGGTGCCACTACCCACTGTGGTAGAACTAGCTGGAGCAGGCTAAAACACAATATTATTTCATTTAAATTATTTATTCGTCACTTTTTTCATCTTATAAACAAAAACACTTTACCATTATTTTTCTTTATTCTAAAGCAAAATAAATTAGGGAAACACGAGCAAAACGCCACTAAAGTCACTTTACAAATGCACAAATGTCTGCAGACGTATGAAATGTCAATTTTCGCTTTCGTGTTATACTCATTCGTCGTTGTCAGTTCAATTTGGCAGTTGCCACGTAGTGTTGACACTAGTGACAGTTCTGACGTAGTGAAAGTGAATGTGACAGCCTACCTAAACTAAAAGCGTGTCTTGTAAAAAGGTTCATGTGATTTTTTTTAAATCGATGGATGGATATACTATTATTTAAAGTTTACCAGGCGCTGGATTCTTGTTCTATGAAAATATGAAATGAAAAATATTTTCTTTATAATATTTTTCATTTGACATTTCTTTCCCCTATAAAAGTTTTCATTTCACATTTTCATAGAACAAGAATTGAGGCCCAGATGTAGTAGAGCCAGTCGATTTAAACTATTATATATGGTAGAACGCATGAAAAAAGAATACAGGTGAAGCATCAACCCCTGGAAACATTGATTTGTCAAACATTTTAAATGTTTTCTCAAAAAAGTTTGGATTTGGATATTTTTTCCTATACGACGGTAATCGGAGTTTTTGGCGAAATGAATTTTATTTTTTTTATTTTACCATAGTAGAATGCTTAAGATCATTGTTATGTCAAAATTTTATTATTATTATTATTTTTTTTTCAAAAATCAGTAGATTTTTATGTTTTTCTTATACGACGCCCATCGGAGGTTGTTATGATATGGATTTTTCAACTATTTTAAAGAATTTGAATACTTTTTCATTCAATTTTACAGTACACAAAGCGGATTAAGATTGCCAATTTCATTGCCCATGCGTCAAATAAATGTTCATAAAGGGCGCTAGCTAGTCCCTGCAAAGAGAACCAGTGTAAACATATTATTATATTGAAATATACTCATGGTAGAAGAATATAGGTAGACGCATCGACACAGCTGCTGGGACAATGAACTGTCAAACCAATTTTGTAATTGAAAATGTTGAATGAATGAAAATGTTGAAAATTTATTTAAATTTGTACAAATTCTTGAAAAATGCATACCATTGGCGTCGTATAAGAAAACATATAAAAGTCTATTTATATTTGAAAAAACATTTAATTTTTTTGACATATCAATGCTCTCAAGCGTTGATGCATCTACCTGTATTCTTGTGCCATGAATATACTCCAAATAAAAATAGCTTGAAAATAAATTATGTAACAGATCCAGAACCAAGGTAAAATTAAGAAGTTAACCTCGTGCAATTATATGTTTACATTTTCTTCTCAAAATTATACCTTTGACAACATGTCATTGACAATATTTCAATAGATTGGAACTTTTTTTGAAAAGAAGTTAAACTTGTTTAGGCAAATTACAGAAACTTTAGGGTGCTGTGTATTGTTACTTGAAATGAGATCACCTTGAATTAATGGTCCCATGTCCAGAGCATTTTTGAAGAAAATATGGATATGGACATTTGGAAAATTCAGTTTTTATTTAATAATGGCTGATAAAGTTAAATTAACATCCAGAACCATGTTTAAATATAAGTGTTTTCCATTGAAAAATAGACATTAATATGACGTGGATGTCTTATCGCGTTTATCCCTGTAAAGTGTAAACGTAGTTGTTTTAATGCCATTTAACCCAAAGAAATAAAACAGCATTGATGTACGTTTTATATTTCCTCTTTTAAAGTTCAGTTTTATTTACTACTGAATTGAATAAGAACGTAATAATAGCTGGAAGAGAGAGAGACAGAGATTGCATAATTTTTACAAAACTCGTTAATAATTTTAAACGGAGAATTTTTTTCTTGTCCACTGTATTTTTGTAGTAAGTTTGATATTAATGTTTATTTAATATATATTACGACTTCAGTTTAAATAAGAGAAATAAGTTAAAATAATCAAGAAACAATAATTTCTATATAAGTTGTATGCATGTAAATTAGAAGCAAAAAAAGGTGTTGAATACATAAACTATTTTTTTAAAAAAGATAATTTTATGTGATTTTTTTAGAAAATGGACCTTGGCCTACATGGTGGTAGTACAGATTACAGTGTTAGAGAAAATCACTACTCATACATAACAATATTTGGTCGCATCGTCGTCCGAAGAGATGCTTGTCAAAGTATAATAAACATAATTTAAATTTAAAGCATATAAACTACAATAGGTTTTACATTGGTTGGTTTATTTGATTATCCATGGATCGAGTTTCTTTGTCAGTTTTTTCAACATCTTTTTCCGAATTGGTAATCGACTGGGAAACTTTTGGTTTCCCTTCGTCCAGTGATTGTCAATTCTCTGCTGACATATTTCCAATGTCTTCATTGATGGCCAATACCTGTTGAATAAACCCTTGATCCATTACAGCTTCCGCCAAAGATGTTAATAACCTTGATAGTTCCTTTATAGACATGTTCAATTGCGGTGCCAGTTTTTCTATGTGCTGCTGAACATTTTCTGGAATCTGCAAGAATGAAATGAAATCAGAATCAGTTCCGTAAATATAAAGATGCTGCCGGCTGTCCTACCTTGTTGTTTTGCTTGAAAACATTAAACATAAATTTGACTTTGACGCGTTGTTCCGAGTTGAGACCTTCATAGAACATTGTGAAATGAGCTTCATTGCTATTAGCGACAATTGGTAAGTATATGCCCGCGTAAACTCTGCCTTTCGCATCACGTGACAACAAGGATCTAAAATTATAGACCAAGTTGCGACGTACCGTGACATCGATGGCCGTGACATATGGCTGGGCGACATATACCAATGACGATTTGTATTGACTTTCATCTCCTCGGATTTCTCTTTCCTTCCATTCAACATACATGGGACTGTATTTGCTATAGGTGTAGCAATAGTCCCTTTGTAAATGGGCTTCCTTGGACTGTGTGAACCACCCTATTGTAAATTGATTATATATTAATGATTGCCGTATAGAGTACATTATAAAGCCAACGCTTACCTGTATGAGGATAGTTTTGGTCTTTCATTACAGTCACACAGCGACCAACATGATATCCCGGATCCAAAATCAAAACACCATCACGCCCGGCAATATTTATTTTCATGGCAACCATTGCATGTTCCTTTTCCACATTGGCATGCGTCGAATTGAGACCACCAACATCTTCGGCAGTTTCGATGTATTCACGCAATGCCACAACTTGTTCCTCGCACGAAACGATGTACAGATATTGTTCCAATATCGGAAAGAGTTCTACAATACGGGCCATAATTTCCATGGCCAGCGAAACACACATATGATCGCGACGATTGATGGGTATGTCATAGAATTGATAGAACGATTTTAGATCTGAACGTCGAGTGCGTTTGAAGGCTTCGTAGAATGCAACGAATAGATGAACGGTATCATAATGGGTCTCCTCTAACATACGCTGCAGCTTCGTTTCGATAATGGCACTTAGATCTTCATATTGCCAAACTGAGTCAAAATGAAGGACACCCTTGTTAGCTTCTTCGTCCGCAGCCCAATCTGGCAGAGGCAATGGATGTCCCAGAGGCCAAATTCCATTGATTTGATTAAAAGCTTCGATATTATAGCCTTCTCGTCCTTCCCATAACTTTGTTCGTCCATCGCCCGTTGCTGTTGCGGAGTGTGGTGGTGGTGGTGTTGCGTTGGTCGTTGTGTCCTTGCCATTCCGTGGCCACCATTTAAGATGCTGCTCCTCCAACAGCTTGTTGATGCTGAGGCATCGTTCCGACGACAGATTTGATGTCAAATTATTGCATGGTGATTCATTTCCAATGCTTTCATTGTCGAAGTCATCTTCATCATCGGTTGAGCTATTTGAGCTTTGTGTATGACCGTTACTGCACAACTGTGCAGTAGTTCCTTTGCATTTGGGTATATCTTGATCAGAATCGATGGCTGTAGTCAATCCAGTCCGTATCGATCCCGCCGATAACCCGAGGTTGCCGGCGGTGGAGCCGGCATGTCGAACCAGGGCTTCGGCGAGTCAACTAGGCCATTCGGCACCCCAACGGCCGACCGTTGGCACATAGCCGCGTTCGAAGTCATTGGATGTAGTGTCTTGATTAATTTTGCTTGTTAATGCGTTTATTGATGAAATTGAAGTCGTTTGCTGCGGACCAGCAGTGCTGCTGCTATTGAAATGCAGACTATTCCGGCCCTGTGTTTTTTTCACGAGGTCCGGCTCGTCTCCAAAACTCGATGGTTGTTTAAAATGCTCTGTGTAGAAAAAATATTGAGATTAGCATTGAGTTGTTGCGATTTTATAAAGTGTTTACTGTATGGAGTTAAGTGAAGAAATCGTTGTGTATTATTTATCCGGACAATTTTCAAAGTCCTAAACATTTATATGTGATGATAATGTAGTGTAGTTGAAATTATATTGTAATAAAGAGTGATGAGTCCAGTTCACTTCGTGCTTTGAATACAAACTAAAATCATTGTTTCCTTCAACACTCATGAGGTAGAAAACATTCATTTTTTACCTGCCCTTAGGACGTGCCACCTGTGCCGCATTCCTTTATGAAAGAATAGTGATATTTGACACGTACAGGCTCGACACGTATAATGGTGGTTTGCACCTGTTACTCACATTGAAATGTATTTGGCTTAGATGAGAACAAAGTCGTAAAGAAAGATCATTTTGCTTAACACTTGAAGAAATTATGAGATTATTTTTGCTTTAATGGCTGTGAGTCAGTGAGTCTAAATACCCCATGTATGGTTGCCAGCCCAACAGCCATATGGCAACTATGAATTTAAAACAAGTGAGAGCGAGAGTGATGATTAGCAAGAGAGTATTGGTAGAGATGTCTAAAACGGAAACAGCAATTAAATTGCGACGGCTGTTAATTTTGAGTCCAACAGAAATAAGAACTTTTGATTAGATTACAGCCATTGTTGGAGATAACGATAAATAACTGCTAGTTATTAGTTTATGTAATTAGTCTGTGTTGTTGCTAATCGACCAAAGAACAAAAATAGAACGAGGCGACAAGATCGCGCTCAATGAAAAAATGCTGTGACGTCATGTTACAGTGTGTGTATTTCAAAAAGTGAACAAAAAAACCGAAGAATGAATTGCTACGTTTTTAAATTGAAAAAAAAAAAAAAAATGAATAAAGACAAAGAACGTC